GTAGGATGACATACACTGACATCCCATCGCTGCCATCAATATGAAGTGGAGTAAAAATAAGTATCAGTGTATTACGAGTCAAAGGTATTTAACTGTTGAATCAAAACAAACTGTAAGAGGATAGTAGGAAAATGTCAATGTGACCCTGGTAGCAATAGATACCATATACAAAATTAGGATATGAATAGAAGCTGATATGAGGCTATAAAAGAAGTGTCAGGATTTGTATTTTTGCCTGAGGATAAGCATTGCATAAATCCTGTTTGGCTGCACCTGAATCCACCTGTCTGGTTTCTTCTTGATGAGAGTCGTGCACAACAGTTGCAGACACATCACAGACATTTTTTAAATACATTCTATAGTATTTTGCAAGCCATGGGTTATGTGTGTGCATGTATTTAGGGGGGTAGTGGGCGTCGAAAAATAAAAAGTTGGGTCCACTCCTGCAGAAAAAAGGTTTGGGAAACAATGCTTTTCCAGTTCAAGTGTGAAGAAGAAAATAAATCATGTTTGGCTTCCTATAACTGTATTAAACACAGCACAAGGATGTGTAGTGTATGATTAGGTTACACCTTGTCCCACCTGGCTCCTGAAAACCACTTTTAGATTCATGATAACACAGAAACCTCTTCCTCATGAGGTCACAGGTGGTCTACCACACCTTTCCTCTCCGCACTGAGCAGGATACAGAGGACACACAACCACAACCTCCCACTGACCCCAGCCTGCGTGTCTTTGTGTGCCACTTTGCTGCTGTTACGGTGACATTTAGCCGACAGGAGATTTACATTACTCCTCAGGGCAGGGAGGACACCGGGAGATGTGTTGTTATGGAAACGGACCCCTACCAGTCTGTCAGAAATGTTTAATTATTCAGGACCATCATCCCAGAGCATCAACTGGAACCGCTCGACGGTGAGATAAAAAAATGATACCATGTTGTTTGGGAATCCAGATAAACGTACCTTGAATATACTAAACTGTTGGGCTACGAAGCTTCTAGGACTCAGCTAATGAGTATTTGATGATGTGCACACTCAATACACGTCTATGCAAATATGCACAGTATGGCACATGCTCAAACAAGTGATCGTCCAATCTAAGGAAAACATTCAAAGCTTTTCTTTCTTGGTCATGTCTGTTTTTGCATCACATTGCTTTTAATATAAATTCGGCATAGACCATCTGATAATTGACAATTGTGAATGTTCTAGAAATGTATAATATCAAATAAAACAGCATTGTCAAAATGTGCAGAACTACAAAATCTGCAATGAACCAAACCAGTCAAAGAAGGCGGGATAAACTTAGCTAGAGTTAGCTTAGCTTGTGAGGTGACCACATCTAGCACGGGCTAAAGCTAATGAACGTACTTTCCCACCAAACGTTTTTTTTGCAATTGAAATATATAAATGATGACCGACCACCATGTTTGAAATTTGAAGTTTTTATCCCATAAAAATCAGGTTGCAATCAGCCATGATTAATAAAAACATCTAAGTAAAGGTTTACCCTGCTAAGACTAGCCTAGCTTAGCATATTAGCAAAAACTGCCTTCTCAGATTTGAGCAGTTAAACTACACCTGAATCAATGAATGTTCAATTATTTAATATATTCCCTTTTGACATGTGTTGATGTTGTGTTTTCCCTCATATTAAGTTGTTTTCAGTGCAGTTAGTTTGTTGGCCAATGTCATTCTTTCCCCTTTTAAAAAGAATAATCATCAAATTAATTTCATGAACTAATTAATTTAGTTATAACTAGCCATATTCATAAATCATAGTCCCAAATTATTTTAAACTTCAGCCTATAGGGCAAGATTTGTCCCTGTTTAATAATCCAGTAAAACAAATATAGAAAAATAAAATAACTATGGACGTGTCACATTTCAGTTTCGTGTTGCTGTAGCTCCATCCTTCTCATGAAAATGTACACAGCATATCGCTAAAGGCTAACACACACACACACACACACACACACACACACACACACACACACACACACACACACACACACACACACACACACACACACACACACACACACACACACACACACACACACACACACACACACACACACACACCACACCACACACACACACACACACACACGTCTCTACAGTGACTATATTTTTAGCCTTGGCATTTATCTAATTGTATTTGCACAGTTCAAAAGCTTAAGTGTTACATAATTAAAACTGTAAAGAACGCTCAGGCCATCTATGTGAAAGAAACATAATCATCAAAGGATTATTAAAAAAAAAAGAAAGAAAATATATATAAATGTCACCCCACACACAGCTCTAGAAAATAATGGCAATGGCAGATCTGATGGAAATATTGTCACCGTGGATTTGTCGATGTGAATTCTGAATACACCCAAGCGTAGAAAAACAGGGTTCCCCAGAGTGAGAAACAATAAGAAAGATGCAGTGTGTGTGTGTGTGTGTGTGTGTGTGTGTGTGTGTGTGTTTCTCCTCCTTATGGCAGATGCATGGGTGTCAGTGGAGCTGCTGTCCTCATTGTGCATTGTTTTGCCTGCAAAGTGTGTCACACCAATCTGTCCTCTCTCATTTCCAGAATGACGTGGAGTGTGTGGGAGCTCAGTCTTCATGGTCAGAGGCAGTTTTATGGACAAGTTAATTCACTATCTGAGGCTCCATATGGTGTGCTGGGGTCTGTTAGGACTGCACCATATTTCTTTGGACAGTGACAGTTTTTATATCCTCTTCTTGTCAAGGATCTTCACACACGGGCACACACAGAAACGATCGTTCTCCCTGGGCTATGAGGCAGGTCACTGAATCTATAAATGCTTCTCCAACCATTTACCTTGAATACTGTGTGTTGACGGCTGCTGACATTAGAACAAGTTGCCCCTTGAGGATGATGAATTTATACATTTTGCTCCTACATAATTTAAAGTAGTAACGTTACTGCACTTCATCTTGTCATATATTTTTGTTACTACAGTTGAATGTGTGATAGAAGGTGTTTACTTTGATCTCTAGGGGCTCATTAAAACTCACCCTGGCCTCTTCCATGTTTTGGGGGCTGCTGTGAAGCAATAAACAGTGTTTTGTTTGTGTATTCTAAGCTACCCTCAGCTGGAAAAACTGACAGTTTTATTACTGTTCCAGAAGTAAGGTAATCTGTACAATTACAGGTCTTACACGTTTGTTTCTCTCACTGTCACGAATCACTGTACCGTCTTAATTTCAGCATCTCAATGCGCGAAGAAGAATTTAGGAGTAGAATAATTTATTTCCAATACTACGCTGCCTCCAAGTGGTAGGTTTTATATCTGATGCAAAAGGCAGACATTGAAAATTAAGGATTCTTTTGCTTTTGTCAGACTTATTACTCAGATATATATATATATCGATACTGCTCCCAAAGAACGATACTGATTTTATCACAAAGCATACAGTACATGTTTATTTAATTGGCAATTTCATAACAAATGCTGAGTTTCCACGTTGAAAGAAACAGCTTACATATTTCAAATGACAAACACAAAGAAAATAAACACTCTATTGACAACCTGTTGGACATTTCTATTACAGTTTTAGTTACAACATTAAAACACCATATTTACAAAGATAGAAACAATAAGAACTCTCTGGTTGTGCATCTTCAAAGCAACAGTTGAACAAAAGGCAAGGCTGGAAACGTTTTTTCTCTCTTTCTATTGCTCTTTTTAACAGTAGAGTGGTTAAAAGGCAACAAGGTCATTGTCCTCCAGAGAATCTCTCCGTCTCACATGATCAGTCACACACACACACACACACACACACACGCACACACACACACAGAAAGATACTTATCATTGCTCAGTGGGGGAGCCCTGCTCACATCCGTACACCCTTTAAAGATGACATACTGTAGGCCTCGACTTAAAGCCTTTTACTGTACAGCTGGTAAATGATCTGTATGCATTGTGTTGCTCACTACTGTACAGTCAGGATGCCAACCGTCACCCTGTAATATAACTAAACACATCAATGGCAATAATGCACATAAAAGAGATCATGTATGAGGCAGATTAAAAGGTAAAACATTCAATTCCGTTTGAAAAACAATAACATTAAAAGAATGTATATATAGGTGTATTTGTGCTGCACATGTGGCCAGCACTTGAGACACCATCACTGTGAAGAGATAAATAAAAGTATGAGATCAAAGATCCAGTAAGTCCACGTAGGAATCCGTTAAAAAAAAGGTGCTTAAAGTCTTCAGTTGTACAGCTGCACGATGATCAGAGGAGGTTTTCCAGTTAAAGATTCAGTTCAGAAATCAACTCAAACGACGTGTGTGAGGATAAGTGGAAAGACAGTAATGGCCTACATTATAATACCTATCTGTTAACCCTTAGATGCACGAGTGACTGGACCCTACACTCCTCCATAAGTGGGTCAGAAAGGACCCGTATGAGAATAATATGTGTTTTTATGCCATTTTGGTTAAGAAAAATCACTTGTATAATATTTAGTATTATATTTTGATTCACACTAGAAATATTTTATATTTAATTTTTCACTATTTATAATTTTAGACATTTTTTTTACATTTTGAAAAAAAACGTTTTGAACATATTGATGCAAAGATCTCCACTATTCTGAGACCCTCGCAGTATTCCAGTCTCTTTTCAAAACTCATCTCTTCTCCTCTTGTCTACTCATCATAGCCCACCCCCCATCAATCCATGCCGGTTGATCAAGTTTGATAGTCCTATACCCCCCACCCTAACCTTCCCTTATATTGTAAAGCGATTTTGAGTCCTTGAAAAGCCCTATAAAAATATAATGTATTATTATTATTATTATTATTATGATTATACTGACAGGTATCAGATCTTGCTGTGTAAAATAATCTTCCTGAGAGGTGTCACTTGTGATGTCGTCTGTGTGGTCCACAGTGAATGTATTCCTGACTGTCATTTTTGACCCACTTTTGGAAGCTTGGGGTAGTAATACAAAAACTACAATTTCTTAAAATGTAATTACAAAGATACTTCAAGAAAACCACCTCACCGGGTCAAAAAAGAGCCACTTATGCATCTAAGGGTTAATAGCATTTGTGTATGTCAAGTCTATATAAGTAAAATGTCTATATAAGCATTAACAATCTAGACATCAATATGGCTTGTTTTGACTTTGTTTGAAAGAATCTAGGTCTCTAACAAGTTCATTTTTGGCTTAATATTGATGCTTGATTCCCAGGTGCAATGTTCTTTCATTACTTCCCTTTGACCTGAGCTCCTCTCATCCATCTTGTTTCATTTTCTGTTCCAATCGAACACGGTCTCATTTCAGGGACAATGCCATTTATTTTCATAATTTCCTCCTGGCTTGTGTGTATCTAATGCATTGTGTTCTGTTTTTAGATTAAATCCAATTTACTCGATATTCATTTAGTGCATTATAAATATTTGGATCGGTTTGTAAATGTTAAAGGTTGCTTTGGGTTTGTTTTCTTTTCTGTTCCAACATAAACAGCTGAGTTATTATAAAGCTCCATGTGATCACTTTGGCTGATAAGGCAAGTTGTGTCTTTAAAAGGAAAAGTGCATTGACTCAACGGCCCCAAGGCATACATACAAACACACACACACACACACACACACACAAAAATCACAAAAATACTCACCCAGTCATTATAAAATACCTTCTCTCCACTTGGAATCAGTAAACATATTTGCCATTGTTAAATAAATTAAAGGTTCAGCAGTTCACATTCATCAGCTGGTTGTGTGTGTATCTGTGTGCAAGTTCTGGGTAGTTAAGTTGTGTAGTTCACATTGGTCATTGTTGTCCCGTGGCTTTTTTGAGAAGCTCCAGGTCTTTGCGTGTTTGAGCCGCAGGGGGGGTGCAGCCGTGAGCCTCCAGACCCAGAGGCAGGTAGCGCTCCTGCAGACCCAGGACCTCGTCGTCCTGCCCGGCCTGCAGCCAGACCCACGGAGGGGGCGGAGAACCCCCCTGGAACCCCCAAAGAGCCAGACTCTCTGTGGTGGGAGGCAATAAGAATCTATGAGTAAGACAGACTTTGCCTTAAAGGTCACCTATTATGCAAAATCCACTTGTTCATGTCTTTTCTACATCAACATGTGTCCCCTCTGTGTAAAGAGACTCTGAAAGTTTCAGGAAAAAAGATTCTCTCCCTTTTTGTCCTGATCCATTTATATAAAAACCTGTCGGATTTTGGCCACTTTATGATGTCATAACGATTTGTTGGCTTGTGTAACCATTAGCCAATCACCAACCAAGGTAACCCCCCTCCACCTTATCACCTGAATCTCCTCCTAGAGCACCATTGTGTTCTTTTTAACCAAATATCTCTCAGAGGGGCGTGGGGAGTGGCTCCTTATTTTCATAGTAACAGACACAGAATCAGCACTTTTGAAACAGGGCTGAAACAGAAGGGATTATGGGATGCTGCAATGATCTGTTTGGTGTTTGGAGCCAAACACTTCAGAGACATGTTTGTATATATCTGAGACCTATAATATATTGATGAAAAACAGTATAATAGGGGACCTTTAATAAAAAGTGACGAAAAAGAAATGATTGTATAAGTGTGTCACTAACCTTTACTGTGCAGATCAGCAGCTTTGGCCATTCCAAAGGAGACCAGATGTGGTGCCACACTAACGAGGCCTTCTGGTTGACCTCGTGTCGCCATAAGCACGATAGACCTGGGACAAAAAAACGCTCGGTTAAATTAGCAAGAATGTGCATAAAAAACGACTTCATGAAGACATACTTTATTATAACCCTAGGGGAAATTCAGCTTTCACTCTCTTGTGTATTACAGTACTCAGGGTTCATACACTTTTTCACCAATGATTTTCAATGACTTCTCCATGACCTTTACCTAATTTTCCATGACCAAAAAAATTACTCTTTCTCAGCGGTACCACTGAAAATGGTTTATTTTAACATGGAACAGGAAAATAAGGTCTGCATATGAAACATGTCTGATCTAAAACAAATCCAATAGTTGGCTTACTAGCTCCTACAGGCTAAATCAACTAAAATCTCTCACCAGCAAAATACCTCGTCAGTTAAATGCCATTTTACGTTTCATTACTATACCATACAGTATTTATTATCATTATAGTATTACTATTTCGGCGATTAGATAAAATATAAATTATATTTGATGCAACTTTAGTTACATTTCCATGACTTTTCCAAAACTTTGGGAAAAATATTGTTTTCCATAACTTTTCCAGGGCCTGGAATTAGCATTTTGAATTTCCATGACTTTTCCAGGTTTTTAATGACCGTAAGAACCCTGAGTACTACACATGCATAAACACATGCATTAATGCAAAGGTCTTTTTTTATCTTGGTCTTAGATGACTTGAATGAGTGACCAACTGGTTCCCAAGCCAGACGGACTGAGTTACTGCCTGCCCTGTATACTGGACTGTTGTATTGAACTAAATAGAAAAGTTGTCTCAAAGTCTGCTACTGCTGCATGTCCTTGTCAAAAAATGCAAATGCAGTAGTGTGAGCACCTATTTCCCCTGGCTCACCTCTTTGGTATTCCAGTTTTTAGGTACTGTTCCATCTTGGCGTCCATCTTTGCAAATGAGGTTTTCTTGGTGACCTTCCCCGAGCAGGCGTCCACTGAGACCAGGAAATATCCAGGCTGAGAGAAGGGCATCGTGACCTCATTCACCTGACAGGAGGACATCAATGTTAAATAAACCCTGATTCAAAACATCAGAAGTAGATAATGTGATTATATGTTGTGTTTCGATAAGTCATTCTTACAGTGATATAGGAGCTGTTATCTCCTTTCTGCTGCTCTTTGCTGCTGAGAGACTTGACTTGTGTCTGGAGGTAGAAGGTCCATGGCTCACTGGAAAACACAAGCTGAGACAGAGACACACTGGTCAGCAATGATGGCTTGAGTTTTGAACAGATTAAAGTAAATGATCGTTAATGTTTTAACTTGTTTATTGGGGTTTTTTCAACAGCATACGGTTATTCTATCAGAGCATGTATCACAAGTAGGTAAACAAATCTTCACTTTATAGAACAATAGGTAGAGTAACAATGTAAATACTGCTTAACCCTTAGATGCACAAGTGGGTCTTTTTTGACCCGGTGAGGTAGTTTTCTTGAAGTATCTTTGTAATTAAAAAAATGTATCATTTCATATTCCAGCTATTCCTCAAAAAACATGTTTTGGATATCATGCCATTCAAATTTTAAATTTAAATTTTAAGAAATTGTAGTTTTTGTATTACTACCCCAAGCTTCCATAAGTGGGTCAAAAATGACCCGCATGCATTTCCTATGGCATCCTATGGGAACCTTTGATTCTTATCACCTGTTTCTGTCAGGAATACATTCACTGTGGGACACACAGACGACATCACAAGTGACACCTCTCAGGAAGATTATTTTACACAGCAAGATCTGATACCTGTCAGTATAATAATAATACATTATATTTGTATAGGGCTTTTTTCAAGGATTCAAAATCGCTTTACAATATAAGGGAAGGTTAGGGTGGGGGGTATAGGACTATCAAACTTGATCAACTGGCATGGATTGATGGGGGGTGGGCTATGATGAGTAGACAAGAGGAGAAGAGATGAGTTTTGAAAAGGGACTGGAATACTGTGAGGGTCTCAGAATAGCGGAGATCTTTGCATCAATATGTTCAAAACGGTTTTTTTCAAAATGTAAAAAAAATGTCTAAAATTATAAATAGTGAAAAATTAAATATAAAATATTTCTAGTGTGAACCAAAATATAATACTAAATATTATACAAATTATTTTTCTTAACCAAAATAACCAAAATGGCATAAAAACACATATTATTCTCATACAGGACCTTTCTGACCCACTTATGGCAGAGTGTAGGGTCCAGTCACTCGTGCATCTAAGGGTTAACACCATGGCAAACAAAATCCCACACAGACAGAGGAAAAACAGACAAACAAAAACAGACAAACAGACAAACAAAAACATTATAATAATAACTAAATAAATAAAGCAACTCATACCTTTTTAGCACCGCAGCCTTTACAGGGTTGTGTATTGAGAGACGGCATAGGCACCACTGCTGAGGGGGTCTTGGAGTACTTGGGGTAGGCTTTGGCTGTGCAGTTACAGGTCTGTTTGGACAACGTGGTGGCCATGACCTTCACTCTTTCGCAGCCTTTTGCTGAACAGTAGCTGTGACCTTCACGACCGTGCCGAGCCCGAAGGAAGAACCACAACAAGCTGGGCGTGATGGAAGGAGAACGGGAGGAAGGGCCACAGTTAAAAACACTTTATGAAATGTGGGGAAACACGTACTCAACACATCTACAAAAAATAATAACATCCCAATAAAAGTATTACGAATACAATTTAAATTAAAAAAATGAGAGAAATCCCGAAAGTCAACATAGACCTTTTTGAGCCCACTGCAATAGAGAGGATAGGAATTTGTTTTATGATCTCACCCAACAGCTCGGTCAAAGTAGTACTTCCTCTCCATCGGCCTGTTCTCCAGCTCTGCTAAGGATGACACGGTGCCGTAGTCTGTGAGGTCATCGAAGGTGTTGCTCTGCCTGTCGTTGATGTCGGCCATAATCTGAAACGTGGTGCCTGATGGGTAACAGAGTCCCACCAACGCCCAGTCATCTCTAAATGGGAGGAAGGGAAAAAAGGCAGTCATTACATCAGAGAGGCGTTCTCCAAAAAACATTTAGAAATAGTAGAAGATGTTAGGACAACCTGGTTTGTAAATACGTTTTAAAAGCTTTGCATAGTTCTAATGGGATCCAAACAAAAACGTATTAAACACTATTTTAATCGTTGTCGTTTCATTGCTTTCTCAGGAAACAATATCCTAATCAGAATCAGAATCAGAAACAGGTTTATTGCCAGTTCGGTTCACACATACGAGGAATTTGGCTTGATGTCATGGTGCAGACATAAAATATAAAACAAAAAATCTTTAAGGACACCGTAATAAAATATAGTTAAATAGCAATAAAATAAAGCAGTAATTGACATGGAAATGGAATGCTATGAATGAATTATAGGATATAAAATATGAAATATGAAACAAGAAATATGTGCAGTAAGCAGTATGAACATTGTGTGCATTAATGTAATGCATATAGAGACTACGTTGTGGCTGAGGTAAGAGTCAGTGGGGGGGCCGGGCCTTGTTTAAGAGGCCGGTAGCGGAGGGGAAGAAACTGAAGAAACTTCAATTTACCTATTGAAGATATTACAGCAAGTCATATCTTTTCCAGAGATGGCCTTCCTTAGCTTATACATGTTTTTGAATACTCCCTTCTGTATTTTCTCTCTCAAAACAGAAAACACCTCTTGTCTTGTTCTGTTTGTAGTTGCTTTGGTTGTGTGTAATTATACTAGAATTTCTTTTAAAAGATGGATCCCTGTATATATCTAACGCACATGTGTCAAACTCAAGGCCCGGGGGCCAAATCAGGCCCTTGGTGGATTTAATTTCGGCCCGCAGGATAATTTCTAATTCCTATTAGATCTGGCCCGCCGGTATATTGCACGCACACCTTCACTCAATCCTGAGGACCTCCTCAGCTCAGAGCCTGACCCCAAACATTGATGAACTTGCACCCAAGATGAGATGCCAAGTATCTGGCTTGAACTAGCATCACAGAGCAGCACACTGAGTTTACATGGATGTTTCCTTCTGCACTTTGTTTCTTGCGATACCAGGGCATGTTTGGTTTGTTCTTTGAGGGAAATTGTTTTTTTGAAGCTGTTGTTGGCCTGTGGGAAAATGTAATCATAAGAAATGACTCTGCAGATAGAGCCATAAGAAATGAATGCAACTGATTATTTAATGTTTAATGTTGTTTTTATAGGCAATAATTTAAGCTTTGTTAGTTCCAGGTTTAATATGTGCAATAAGTTCATTTCAATAAGTGTTGCAATAAACATTGAACCAGTCCGGCCCTCGACTAGTGCCCATTTTTTTATTTTGGCCCACTGTGTATTTGAGTTTGACACCCCTGATCTAACGGATGATACTTGTACAACTGTCATATAATAAATATATATATATATAATATGTAAACTATTTGACTCCAAATAAAGATTTAAAGACAGAAGAAAGGCCATGTAAAGTATGTAAAGTATTAATGTGTTTCATCCAAAGACTGACATATTGCGGAAACCATGTGACTTGCAGCAATGTAATGCGTGTCGTCCACACACTGAAGCTTTTACTCACTTGTCGAAGTTAATGAGGGACAGCACCACCTCTTTGGGTGCAGGTCCGCTCCAATGCAGGCTGTAGCTCTTGCTCATCATCAGGATGGGCTGGTACTGCTGAGACAGCGCCCCCTGGCTGTTGATCCCCCTCAGAACCAGAGGGGCAGCTGGGTATTCATCTCTGCTGATGGATAGGATCAGGTTAGGGGATCCCTGGGTCTGGATGTACACCTGGGAGAGGAAGCGGAGGAAAGGTCAGTGTCCTATCTAATAGTATTCACATCAATTATTCATTCATATTAAAACTTTATACATATTTCGTCCTTGTACATGTTATGAATTATTTAAGTAGGTCTTAGGTGACCTATCTCTCCACGTGTTGCTGCTCATGAATTTCAATCAAAGTCAGGAAGAGTGAACATTTAACATGAGAAGGACAGATGGATAATAATGAGGTGTAGACCCTGCCATGTTGTACCTGAGAGTAGCGTCCGCTGCAGATCACTCCGCTCCACTGAGGCATGTTCACACATTCAGGATGTTGGATCAGGTAATTGTCTGCTCGGCCGGCGTAGGTGTCGGTGTAGCCCGTCACGGAGCCGTCCACGTCGTGAAAGATGGAGTTTTTGTCCCCGTCCAGGTCGTTCTCTTCAAACCACTGCCCCGGGCGGCCGAAGAACGTCTGCAGACCCACCTGAGGGTGATATTTGCAAAGAGTGTTATAACCGCAACTATATTTGTTTCAACACTAGGCATCCATTTTGTAAGGATGAGTTTAACAATGACAATATGGATTAGTTAAACATTTCAATTAGATAGACTCAAAATGAATTGCAAAAGGGGATTAAGAAGCTGTCCTTTAACTTCATTTTGAAGGAAATGCTGATTGCACAATGTAATGGCTACAGAAAATGACACCATCAGTGTTAAGACAAGATAAGATAGGATGGACCTTTATTAATCCCTGTGAGGAAATTCAGAAATTCAGTTCATAGTGGTTCCCTCTAAGCTCTCATTATCCAACGCTGTCTGCCACTGAGTATGATCTACTTGGACAATGAAGGCTCGATTTAAGGTGGTTGAAAGAAAATGCCTTTTTTAATTAGAGTAGTGTTGCTAATTGACCAGATGAAGTTATACACTCATTTGCATGTTGGCAACGTCTTTCTGCATTGATTTGCATAAAGCTTACAGGTTGTGTCAGTTACAACAAGGGAAAGTCTGCTTGTGCAGGAAGCAATTCATCTGAGCCGCATACCATATGTATTCCAATTTAATATTTAAAAATGTTTCTTGTCCAATGCTTTTTATCTTTCACTTAAAGGTGGGGTAGGTAATTCACTTCAGAAACACTTGTTATATTCCATGGAATGCTCTTAACATCCCGATAGCAATGAATACATTAAATGCTTTGACAATAAATACATTAAAAAAAATTCATCTGTGTATAAAAAGCACGACCAATCATTTTAGCCGGCCCGGCTAAAATAACTGGATGGCCTACCTGCCTGTCAGCCTTCCATCTCGTGCACAAACTTATCTCGTGCCCTCATTGGTCATGTGCGCGCACGTGTGTGTTGGAGGAGGGGCTTTCAAATTCTAGCGCACTCGAGCTGGTTTCTCCATTCTTACGTACCCTACCTTTAAGTAAAGTGAGTGCACTTTCTTTACCACCACAAGATGGCACTAGAGATGTACAATTGTTCCTCCACATGCCCTTATTTTCTCCTTTCTTCTGTCTAATGCTTTAAACAACTGCCAACTCAACGACTCTCCTCTGATTTAATCAATATGAGAGGATGGTTACACGGGTGAAGGATAAAAGGAGCCAACAGCTCAAGAGGAAACAGTCAAACCCAGTGTAGCAAAAGGATAGACACATAAAGCAAGGTAGAAAATATACAAATTGTGAATCCAAAACAGTAACTGTATTTCCAACAGCAGTGTGACTGTAGACCAGAAACAAACACAACAAAGTGATAAACAGAGACAAAGGTACAAAGTGCTAACCGGTCACATGGGAGTAGTTACTTTAAAATGTCACATGACCCCAAGTTATATGGTCATATAGAATAGCTGGGAGTGAAACCTACACATTACATGACATGTCACTTGTTAGACGCTTTTATCCAAAGTGACTTACATACTCAATACTGTGGACAATCCCAGCAGGAGCGATTTGGGGTGAAGTGTCTCAGGGACACAACGACATGCTGACTGCAGAGGGGTTTGAACCTGTGACCCCCTGATTCAACACCAATGCACAACCCACTGCGCCACACACCTCCTACATCAATCACTGGCTGTAAAGAGCTATTACAAGCTCATTAAAGGAAGATCACAACTGAAACATAACTTGGCTAAAGTACTGTAAATATTATGTATGTAGGTGAAAGGTTGGACAGCTCTGTGTTGACTCAGTGTTACTATGCATCACACTGCTTTGTCTATGTGATTCTAATATGAAATCAGTAACTGTATAGTGTGCCTGGATGTCAAAAATAGACTCACAGTGGGGTGGAAGCTGAGCTGGGACAGATTGTTTCGTGGGGTGAGCTGCCAGGTGTTCTTCAGGTTGAATCCCACTGCGCTGGTATAACGCTCCGGTGTGGGGATGTATCCACGAAATGTACTGTGGGTAAGTCGCACCGGACCATCGTAGATCTGGAAACCTCGGATTGGGAATGTCCTACAGTGAAGAGGGAGTTATCCACGATTAGGCAAGACAAATGACAGATAAAGTAATATTCGAATTGACAGGTTTGAGTCATAGATTGGCTTAAACCCAAAACTTGAAAAGGAGGTTCAGACGGACATGTTAATAAAAAACATGACTCAATAGGGAGCAGGACATCAGCTGCCTCAGACATGACGTGCTTCATAATTCTTGGACATATGGGCTGTGAGACAATTTCACAATTCCAAAGGTTCCCCCCACAATGACTCCTTCGTTTTTCCCATCAAAACTTGAGGGGTCTAAGCACAGAGGGTGTGGTATGCTTTACACATTGTAAAAGCCCCCTGTGGCACATGTGTAATATTGGGCTATATAAATAAAATGTGATTGATTTATTGAACGTAAAGTAGAAATGATGGTCAATGAAGGACTGTGGTAGATGTAATTGTATCATGTGTTTAAAGGAACTATAAGAACAAACTAACCAATAAGTCTTAGAGAATCATAGTTAAAAGAACTATGCGAAATAGTGTCAATAATAGCAACAATGTTATATATATGGAAAATGTTAGGAGGGTTAAGTCAGGACGTATGCTCTTGGGATATAATTATAAAAAATAATTTACAATTTATTTCCTATCTCTATTTTTTGAGTCATCACTTTCCGTCAGACAAGGATCTAAGTCTTATGTAATGGCTATTAATGAAACCTTGGAACTTTAATTAAAGGATCAAATTATCCATTTATTTTTTATGGAAATATCTTCTCACTGGCAAGAAAAAAAAAAGAGTGTCAGCAGTTTTGGCAGTAACCACGGTGACGACAGACAGCCCGACTGAGCCAGATGTCACTGTGCGGTCAGGGAGCCTGTAAAATGGCTGTAAAGTTGTACACGGTGGTGACAGCGGCGGTCACAAACTGACAGAAAGCTGGGTTCTTGAGACTAAAATGGGCAGCTATTTGCAGCTCTCTCCTCTGCTATAACGATCTCTGTAATGACAGACAAAGGCAGAGAGAAGAGAGCCCGAGGGGACATAAAGCCTAAAAGATCTGGTCTCATTAGAGCCGTCCACTTAGTCCAACATGGTATTACAGCCTGGAGAGACTCTATAAACCTCAGAATGGAAATCCTATCCAAAGAGTTGTCATTAGGGCACAAGTCAAACATCCGTCTGGTTTACCCATCGATGGGATCGCTATTAAAGATCGGTACCACTTTACAATAAGACTACCCTTATAAAGGGTTTACGAATAGTTTGTAATTCATTTATTAATTAGGTTGTGAACACTTTATAAATCATGAATAAGCTTTTATAAGACATGAGATAAACAGGGCAACTGTGACCGGTTGCTTGCCAAATAGTGAGCCAACATTTATCTGTAATGCTAAGCCTTATATTGGCTACCTAGCTTACTTCGTCTTCTTCATCAGCCAGCTTCCTTGGTATCTGTTGCTCACTGAGTTGATTCTCGCTAAGTAGCCAGTATAAGGCTTAGTCCTCTTGCCAAATAGTGAGCCTGTGTTGATGTATGTACTGGTTTATAAATGGTTCTTAATGATTAATAAAGTGTTTACAACCTAATTCATAACCTAATTATAAACCCTTTATGAATCCTTTATAAGGGTAGTCTTATTGTAAAGTGGTACCGTAAGATCTTCACAGGCTCCTAAATGTAAAGAAAGGAACGTCATTTAGTTAAAGCTAAATTTGAGCTCTGTTTCCAAATATCATGATAAAGATCGTACTGCTCGTAAGTGATCGGATGCCACAATGACTAATCCCTTTCTTAGAAAACCACACAAGTGTTGCCACTACCGTTTTCAGAAACTGTCTAAAATATCACTGGAGGGAAGTCAGTCCAAACAGAACTTCCTTTCACAAGTCCAGCTCCGTCTTAAAGCAGCTGCAGTAGCCTCCGCTGTCCATCTGTCCAACTACCTGCTGGCTCTGCTGGCTCGCTCTTCCTTGTTTGTTTTTCCCAGCATATTTGTGCATTGCCAACTCCTCCAAAAGCATCCCCTGCAATTCCTGAGGAAACTCAGATTCATTTGGGTTTTCCCTTAATTCCTCACATATATCATTCCTTCCTTGTTATTACCCCTTGTATCCTCCCTGCCAGCGTTTCCGCCAGGGGTCTTGCCGTCATTTGACGCCCTTATTCAGCTCAGAACGCCCCGAACTCGAGCCGAGGGCTGAAGAGCCGTTTAGGAGCCGAAAGAGCCGGCTCTTCTTAGTGAGCCGAGCCAAATTCCCATTCCCATCACTAATACGTAAAGAGATAGTATCTATAAGGGACGGCTCAATTCAAAATTCAAGTCACCCCCCCCCTGCTCCCTGCTGTTCGCTCCCTCTCACCTGTTTCTAGGCAGTGTCCTCATCTTTGCATCAACCCCTCCTAAGCCCCAGTATTTATTCTGTCCTCCGTTGGTCCCTCTGTTTCGACTTTCACCCACAAACAAGGACCGTGTCACTTCCTGGCTGGAGCCTTCATCCTTAGGGTAGCTGCCATCACTGGAGGAAAATAAGGAGATAAGGGCATGTAGAAATAAATAACAAATCATCTCCAACATATATGTTAACATTGGACAATATAGAAAAAAACTGCATTTCTTCTTAATTATTAAGGAAATAAATGTATGTGACAAAGTGCCTGTTCTTAGCTCATTATTGATACATCATTGATACATATTTGGCAAGTTCTTCTGGCAAGGAGAAGTGAAAAGCATGAATAAAAGGAGCAGAGGGATTTAGAAGTACACACCTGGCAAAAGCCAGTCCCACTCCATTGTCTGCAAATCTGTCAAGGGAAAGACAACATAAGTGCATGGTCAAATAGTGAATCCCAGGTTAGTCAGCACCCTAAAATCTAGGGGAATATCTATGAAGAAAGTATGAGGGAAAGAGCCATTCATTACTGCGGGGGAAACTTCTGAAGCAATTGGGAGTCAGGACTCAGAGAGACACGAGGAGAGCTGGAGCTTTGATGGCAAACACTGACGGTTTATTTGGAGCTTCGGCCGGAGAATTCACACGACATGTCACGGGCCACGATCTGACCACACGGTAGAGATGCCACAATCAATTCTGAAGCACCCTCCTGTAGCTCCAGGTTTGAACTAGTTCAGAGTGTAGTAATCAACATTCTTCAATAGATAGACTAAACAGCTGAGGACACTGAATCACAATGTGTTGTCTCTTATGGCTCGGGGTCATCTACACCCCGAGAAGGATGTGTTCCAGGTGTCCCACAACAATAACTATCTCTGACCGAGAGTTGCCCGGTCACAAACTGGTAACAAAAACAAAATGCCAGGGCAGCCCCTCCTTATGGGAGATAACGGCTGATCAAGGTTGGTCAGCTGCGTCAGAGGGCGAAGGAGGACATGCAGGGCAAATGATTCCCCAACAATTACAAGCTGTGAACCATGTCTTCACAGAAACGTGTAGTGGGATTATCACATCGTATTGTCATCATGGTCAGAATCAGAATCAGAAACAGGTTTATCACCAGGCAGGTTTACACGTACGAGGGATTTGACTTGGTGTTGTGGTGCATCTCAGTCCTCAGTTCTTTTGAAAACATGACATTCATCTGTCTTACCCAGAGTCCTGGATGACGATGTCCCCTCCCCGTATCCACGCCCCTAAATCGTTGTTCTTGTAGGAGATCAGAGTGTCAATCACTGCTGCAACCCGGGGGCGGTTAGGGTCAGCATCCTGGTGCGGCCGGAATCTGACAAACACAAGTGAACACATGCATTTCTATCATTATCCTTCTGACTTTAGTTGTTACTGTTAACACAGTGTCAAACATTATTTCCCCCAACTTATTCTGCACACTCTAACGCACAAGACAACACAAACAAAAGATGGCTTGAACTAATTAACTTTGTCTCTCTGTGTGACTAATAGCTCGGATAATCATAACGTCATCCTACAATAAATCTGAGCAGAAATCATTTATAACTGGGCTTATTGTCTAACTGTTAAACTCTAGAGGCTTCACTGCTTATTGCCTCCCACAATGCATGCTAATGTGATGTGGTATTGTGTTGCAAAAAAGACCATGGTGTCATTAAGAACAAAAAGGGGTTAATCCCCCTCTGGAGCATCAATGTGGCTGGAAACATTTATGACTATCCTCCCATTAGATTACGAAATATCTTGTGTACAAACTAAAAGGGTATACAAAGTGTTAAATCAGAAAGAATTTTTTAGGAAACTATCAATACCCAATCCCTCTCTCTTTCTGTCTCTGAAGGATTTATGCTTGGTACACAAATGTAACATTAAAAATCCTCCCCCTCGTACCTCTGCACACATGCACAGAGCGTGGCCAGCGGTCTCAGCGGACACGTACGATTTTTTCCGTCTAGTTGAGGGCAGTATTTGGGTAGGGAGAGTGGAAACTCTATCTGTGAAGCCTTGTTTTCTCTGTCAACACAAGCCTTCCACCAAAATGCAGAAACAGAGCGTAAAGCCATCTAACTTTCCCAGTCAATGGCCGTATCCCCAAAGATATTCACCAGGGGGCTATAAATAACTGAATTCAAACCTTTATTGACAGTGGCATTAAAGAAACACATTAGTAAACCACAAATACCATAATATTTGCATAGTGTAACTTTACACCAGCACATAATCACCCATTATAGCCCCCCTGATAGCGCACAGTTTACACTTTGTTTAACAACATGTACAGTAAAGTGTACTGTATATTGTACTAGTGAGTTGTAGGTCACTAACCATTAATTTTACCTAGCAACTAATTCATTGAGATGTCAAAAACGATAAGAAAAATAGTAATTATTATCTTTTTACACATAAATCACAGAGAATACGTCCTTAAAATGTAAATGTTTTTGCATACACATACACACCTGGCACTGTTATCTAGACACAGGTATTCCCGGGGGTCCGCAGCGCTGGCATTGCTGGTCTTCACTCCTTTATCAATGAACAGCCCTGCCTAGAAAAATGTGAGTATGATTACATTTTAACTCCAGATGTTCCCTAAAAGTTAGTTAGAGATCCAAGATGGGCCACAGATCTATTCCTGTTAAACTCACATAAACAAGACGACTAGTATACTTCACAGTGTGGGACCTGAGGCCATAAAAAACGTACTAAATTTAAATCCTGGGCCCACAGAGTCATGCAGTAAAGCAGACTGCGGACAGAAACGGTGGTAAACAGAAATCCTCGGAGTAATTTGTAAGAAAACGTACGGTATATTTACACAGCCCGGAACATATGGTTTATTTTTGTATGTTTAGAAAATGAATTGTAAAATAAATTATAAGAAAAAAGTTGTAAGTCTGTATGTCTCAGGTATGTGGAAACCTGTGCTCAGAGAGGCTTCTGTGGTCACACTGAACAAAGAGCGTACAGTTCACCTGCCCGACTTCTGTCCTTACACAACAGAGCACTATTGTAGAGGGCTACTTCTACGTAGTGTGTGTGTGTGTGTGTGTGTGTGTGTGTGTGTGTGTGTGTGTGTGTGTGTGTGTGTGTCCATGTCTCATTTTTGGCAAGAAGTGAATAAGCAGAGAAATATGTGCAATGCATTTTTTACAAACTATAAAATACTGCATTTCTTTTGTCGCTATAAAACACTGAAGCAGAAGACGTTTGGCACCTTGTGTATATAGTAGAAAAAGCACACACTGACTTGAGGCGACATAGAAAATGAAAGGCTAAAAGATAAGCTGCAGTGGTGATACCTTAAAGTTGGAGTGTACGCGGTTGTTGTAAAAAATCCCCAGGGGTGTGAGCTCTGCCTTGGTCTCTGGTACCAGCCCATGAGAGTCTCCGGTGGAAGAGCTGTGGAACACGAACCATATGCCAGCATCCTGCAACAGGAAGGGAGAGATGAGGTGATAGATAATGTTCATGGCACGCCTGGGCAGCAGCAGCAGCAGCAAGAATTTCATTATTCAGATTTATGAACATATCATCTGAAGGTTGAGAGTTGAGGGTACATGCAAAACCATTACGCAGAACAAGGCAGGATGTCATACTACATGCTCCACAGAGAGGATGAATCAGGTGTAAGAGTTCATATGAGCTCCATAGTTCATCGAAGTTTACGCTTCAAAAGATTTAGACTGAAAATCACAAGCATACCCCCTACAGCCCTCCTCAGTGAACCTCCTGGATGATTGTGCTCAAATGAAAAATAGACTAGATAAGGGATCTACTACTTTTATCGTGTCTTACGATGTTATTGCATCCTTCCTATCAGAAACTAAAGCCCGTTAAATCCTATTTTATTGACGGATCAATGTGTTATGAGCATGAACATCTTTCATTTTGTAAAGATCAGGAACACCAAAGCCAGTGCTGCTTCACTTAATTTAATTTATATTATAAATTAATAAGGGGCTCTACTCGTTGACTACTCATTTTTATGAATCACTTCAATAGTTGGAGATGTTTCCTTACGTAACTCTGATGTTATTACCTGAGAACCAGCAGCTGCGTTGCTGATGAGATTGTTGTTTGGGTTGGCGATCCAGAACGTGGAAACTGCCCTGAAAAACACCCCCACCACACACAGAGACAAAGACAGAGACATAAACATACACACAGACAAGCAGAACAGATATTAAACAAGGCAGTACAGAGACTGTGACTAATAAGCAGAAGACAAGAGATCAAAGAAACCTGTGATCTTCCAGAATTCCCTCGATAATCCACCTCTCCAACATAAACCCTGGGCTCTGCCAACACACACACACACACACACACACACACACACACACACACACACACACACACACACACACACACACACACACACACACACACACACACACACACACACACACACACACACACACACACACACACACACACACACACACCACACACACACACACACACACACACACACACACACACACACACACACACACACCCCACACACACACACACACACACACACACACACACACACACACACACACACACACACACACACACACACACACACACACACACACACACACACACACACACACACACACACACACACACACACTTCTTGTTCTTGCTACGGAATAAAAACATCCCATGTAGAGCAGAGGTTGTTATTTCATGGATAATACCCAGCAGCAATATCTCTCTCACATACCAATACTAACTCAGTATCTTTTTCACAGGGCCATGGACCTTCTGCCTTCTCTCAGTGTGTGTCTACACTATCACCAGATTTCCCACACAGACACTTGACATAGAGTCATAGACTTTAATGTCAGTGAAGAAGCTGGTGGCAGGAATCATTTGTGTTGTTTTTCTCCTGTTTGTCAGTGGATTTAAAGATAAGGCATACGCTCACTTATTTCCTTCCCTAAATATCTTGCTACTTTACAGTCAAGATGTTGGCTTATTCTCAGCTTTCAGTGATCCTACTGCCGGTATTATCTGTCATTATTACAATTATCCTCAGTCTCATTGCTTAACAAGACCCCAGGGTCTTTGCAATGCAGCTGTTGCTGATTGACAGTAAGGCACTTTTTTAATAATGGTTGGTGAGAGAGAGCCTCTTTCTAGAACAATACAAACGGACATCCATGTGTTTATGACGGTGGTTCAGAAAGTCTGCACCACCAAATAGGAATGCAAAATAAAAACAACACTGTAAAAAGTTAACGATGATTTTGAGATGATCGTTTTAAGTGTGTACTTACGTCATTTTGAATTCATTGTGATGTGTGTGTACAGCACATACACTGGTAATCATTGATTGCTACACCCAATGGTCTAACTTTACAGTATCATAAAGTAAGGACTCCCAAGACTTGCAGTGGTTGTGTTTCTATTTATAGTCATGCTTTATGATGTTTCAGAAAGCATGACTTTTATCAGTTTGCTCATATCTCCACAACCAGAAATGCACAAATTCCTTATCCTTATATCTTACTTGCACTCTGTGCTGGGTGAGGGGGTGTAGCCCTTGTAGACTTTGTCCTTGATGCTGGTGCACATGGTCTCGTTGCGGTCGGTGGGCAGCAGAGTCCCGGGGCGGGTCAGCAGGCCCAGGTTGTGGAAGAAGGTGTTACGCTGCTCGATCCCATCCTCCAGGAAGAAACAGTGACCCAGGGTGTCATAGCCCACAGTGTCCTTCACCTGCAGGAAAGAAATAAGACCAAAGGATATTTAAAAGTGAGAAAGAGCCAAAGGAGGATTTTAAGAGTAGAGTTCTTGAATGACGATACCATTCTATATCCCATTTATGAGAGAGGTTCCCTATCCAAATAGGGAGGTAGCATACACCGAATTGAAGTATGCATAACATCTTGGTAAACACAAGAGGGCAAACATATTTGAGTCCATCTTGTATTCGTCAACGGCCCACAGGACAAATACAGAACAGGCTCCGTGAATACTTCAAATTCCTCAAATAATTTCCTACAAGGAACGTATTTTTGTGTTGTCCCACAGAGAAGACACACAATAAAGAAATGTTCACATGGTCACTGTGCCAGAAGGGAAACAGGAAAAACAGCAGTCAAACAATGTTATCCCAAACTTTGTACAATTCCATTTCCTTGATGCACACAGGAAGATTGCTTTCAATACTGTGGCTTCAAGGACAGAGAGTGAACCAGTCCCTGTTTGACGTCAAAAGGGGGGACAAACACTCGCACCTAAAGAAGCAATGGTTTTGCAGTTGACAGATATACGTGTGTTTCATATCATTTCATGTAACCCTCCGGTATCACCGTGGACGTTTTTGTCCATATGGGTCATTTTTCACGTTTCATTTTGCAATAACTTTGGTTGTGTTGGTGCAAATGGCCTGATTTTACATTTTTCAAATCGGTCTTTAATTCACTGTGTAACAAATCGACTACGCTTATCGAGACAAAAATGTCCACTGCAAAAGACTTTGATAAAAACATTATATTAAAAAAAAAATTTCACCACATTTTTGGGTTCAATCTTTAAAGCAACTTCAGCCCTAATCAAAAATACCACATATTTAATCATTTGTCAGAAAAAAAAAATTTCAGTATTATAGAGAGGCGAAGTCCCTCCCCTTCCGGTGGACCTCCATGGGACCTTATTTCGGAAAAATTATGTATTGAAGTCAATGGCGAGAGAAAGATTATCTTTCGATCCAGTTTGAATTGTGCCACGAATTACACATATGATGTTTGTCAATTTAAAAGATAATTTTGCAAGTCAAAAAAATACAAATGTGTCGTAAAACTGTGAAGTAACACTTTTTTTTGTGTGAAACCGCTCAATGAACTACATCTCCCGTCTCGCACCACACACCAAGACGGCCGTCACGTTGGTACATTTCACTTCTTTCTTTCAGAATGAGGCGAAAAGTATTAAAAGAGGTGAAAATCACTCCAAGTCTGGGCATGTTGAGAGCTGTACATACACAAAAGGGGAGTGAGTCGGTTCCGTAAGAGCCAGCATGCGGGACCGGGATTCTGGGATTTGTAGTCTTTCTAGTTGCGTATTTTTCATAGTCTTATATTTCAAGAGTTTTACGACAAACTGTGACTTTTTTTACATGGAAATGATTTTTTAAGATTGACAAACATCATGTGTGTAATTCGTGGCCAGGGCTGGGAGGGTTAATTTGTAAATGTAATCAGTTACTGATTACTGAATACATGGCTCTGAAAGTAATCCGAATACAGTTACAGTTACGTTTCTTAAAAAAGTAACGTAATCAGATTACTTTTAGATTACTTTCTTTTTCCATCACAGATGGGTATGTTTTGGGGTACAGGAGACACAAAAAGCAAAAGGAAACTGAACGTGTTTTTACTGTTTTAATGGCTTATCAAGAGCACAACTGAAACATAACATCTGAAACGATGTAACAACATAATACACTTTTTGGGGATGCAGCTTGGGATGTGAGGAGTGAGGGACACGGCTTAGAACGGGCGTGTTGCCTTCTGTCCTGCCAGTGTTGGCAGGACATGAATTAAAATGTCGAACTCGGACTTCATTTTAAGTGTGTGCACCAGTCTGCCTTGATCTATGAATTCATGTCCGTGACACTCACAGTATCTGCTGCCCACAGCTGTGTTATAGAAGGAAAACCTCCTTCACCTCATGAGCAGGCTGATGTGTTTTAACCACCCACACACACACACACCCACACACACACACACACACACACACACACACACACACACACACACACACACACACACACACACACACACACACACACACACACACACACACACACACACACACACACACACACACACACACACACACACACACACACACACACACACACACACGGGTTGAAGTGTCTGGTCTGCTGCTGAACCTGCAGGATGAAGTGCAGCAGACCTGGCAACCCGGGGATCAGATTGTAGTCGCCAGCACAGACTACTCCATGCATCAGACGGAAGAGTTTACCTTGTTGCCCTGCTCTCACTGCAGCAGCAGGCAGGTCAGGATACAAGGTGAGGTGTGTGTGTGTGTGTGTGTGTGTGTGTGTGTGTGTGTGTGTGTGTGTGTGTGTGTGTGTGTGTGTGTGTGTCACACACACACACACTTTTGTTCCTCCATGTTTCGTTGTGATTGTTCCACTGAGCCGACCCGCACATTTTTTTTCAAACGCTCCCTTTTTTGGTCCATCTGCGGCGGTAATAGGTTTTGTGCGCTGTGATGATTCGGCTGTACCTTTAGTAATGAATATTAAATGTTGTGAGGAAATCTTTCCACCAATAATTCCAATAAGTAATCCAAAATGTATTCACTTCAGGTTTACGAAAGTAACTGTAATCAGATTACTCGTTTTTCAAATGTAACGCGAGCTGAATACAGTTACTTGATTTTTGTATTCTGATTATGTAACGCCGTTACATGTATTCCGTTACAACCCAACCCTGTTCGTGGCACAATTCAAACGGGATCGAAAGATAATCTTTCTCTCCCCATTGCCTTCAATACATAATTTTTCCGAAACAAGGTCCCATGGGTCGGAAGTAGATGGGTGGGACTTCGCCTCTCTATATAGAAAATAACTCCTTTTCTCTGTTTTTATCATGAAAAACAACAGCGATTTCATAGATTCAAAATGGCATTTAAAGGGTTAAAATCCTGAAAATTATTAAATATTTGGTATTTTTGATCAGGGCGGAAGTTGCTTTAAAGATTGAACCCAAAAAAGTTGAGAAAAAAACCTTTTAATATAAGGTTTTTATCAAAGTTTTTGGCAGTGGACATTTTTGTACTAATTTGCGTAGTCCAATCGAATGATACCGAAGGGTTAAACATAAAAACATTTACATTTGTTGAAAAGGCAGAGATTAAGGAAAATAATGAGAGGGAGAGGAAGAAAAAGGAAGGAGGAAACAGGCTGTAATTGATGAGTATTCAACAGCATCTGGTACTTATTAGTGAGAGCTGTTCTGTGATTCAATGTAATGACAGCTGTTTTTTCTTTGTCATCTCTAACATTGAAGAATTGCTCATCACACACATACACACTTTACTCACCAGCAGACCGTTGGTGGCGTGGATGGTGACGCAGCGGGAGAAGGAGTGATGTATGGAGAGTCCGTCGACGTAGGTGGGCTCCCGGTAGCCCCCCCTCTGGTCCACATCCCCGCACATGTGGAAGTGGAGCGGGTAGCTGCCTTTCTCGCCCTGCTGGCCCATGTTCTTCAGCTCCACGTGGGACAGATGCACGGATGAGAAGTTACCCAAGATCTGCCCATGTTTGGTAGAAAGGAAAAGGGTCAAAACTCAAATAATTCAAGAGCCTTTTTTAAACCGCTAAAGGAAACTCACTGGCTTTGTGGAGGGCAACACAAGATTCAAATTATGCCCCAAAAGAAAGCTCACTGTCTACCAATGTGGTCCCATTACGGTCTACAGTAGAATTATCTGTGTTTGTCTGATACAACTGCTCCAGTGAGTCAAACTGCACCAACACCACTGATTCTCCTCTTGATGATTAAGATATGCGAGTTATAGAAGCTAAACCAAAAACTAAACACATATTGCACACATTCAAAACTCCAAATGGACTGGGGAGCAAAAGAAGTCAAACATGAATCAATTATTAATTCAATACAACAAATATGCAGCACAATGCTCTCTAGGAGGTTTTCTGTGGGCATGGCATAATTCACAAAATCTGGTTCCTGTTAGGGAGGTATTGGCCAATGCTTCCAGCAAACTGTAACACACACACACACACACACACACACACACACACACACACACACACACACACACACACACACACACACACACACACACACACACACACACACACACACACACACACACACACACACACACACACACACACACACACACACACACACACACACACACACACACACACACACACACACACACACACACACACACACACACACACACACACACACACACACACACACACACACACACACACACACACACACACACACACACACACACACACACACACACACACACACACACACCAGATGATGCCTCAAGATATGAATACTTGATGTATACACAGAGCATCAATGCAAGGACGCACACATGTATGAGTTCTTGCATTCATATAAGCATACATATTAACACAACTGTTAAAACGTCTGCCAAAAATGTTATTACATCCATGTCCAGTTTGGAGTTGCGTGACAAATGCATTGAGTTAAATATGCAATGAATGCTCAGTGCTATAAATGTGATTGCACTGTTGTTTAAGCTTAAGGCATGGGAGGTCAATCAGTTTGGAGGCAGTTTGTCTCATATAGTCCGAGAGTTTATGTTGTAAAAACTGGTGGAAAGAAACAAGGAAGGAGTATTTATTTCCTCCAGCACAAAGGGGGTCAGTTACATAGAGCCAAAGGAATGTTATTGTGTTTTTGCCACCAAAGTGAATGAAATAGGACCATCATTAATCAAATTAAAGTGAACTCATTGCCTTTATATATCCATGTACAGTAGGTCAAGGTGGACATGATGCTCCAGTTACAGCCCTGTGTGACACTCATCTATCTGATGTACCATGCTGTGAATGGATCTGGCCCTTCTTACATCCAGGACATGGTTAAACCAAACACCCCAGCACGTGCACTCCGCTCTGCATCGGCCAAACGGCTCGCTGCACCCGCACTGCGAGGGGGACCCAAGTTCCCATCAGCCAAAACACGTTGGTTTGTTATCCTGGCTCCTAAATGGTGGAATGAGCTCCCCATTGACATCAGGACAGCAGAAAGCTTACACATCTTCCGGCGCAGACTGAAAACTCATCTCTTTCGACTCCACTTCGAGCGATACAATGACTAACAAAGCACTTATATACTAATAAAGGACTGGCTTATCTAAAGCCAGTTGAGTAGCACTTGAAATGTGTTGGCTCTATGAAACCTGATGTACTTATATGATTCTGTTTTCTTCAAGTTTGTATCTTCTTGGTTGAATGCACTTATTGTAAGTCGCTTTGGATAAAAGCGTCAGCTAAATGCAATGTAATGTAATGATGTCTTTAGATGTTAAATAAAATAAACACTTGAGATGAAGAGGCAAAGTATGTCTGTGTCTGTGTGTGTGTTATCATTTTGAGCTGCTATACAGTTTGGCAGGCTCCCATGTGTCCTCTCAGTCCTTGCCACACTCGGAGCATGGTGTCCAGCGAATTTTGACTTTTCAAAACACTGAGAGAATGAGAAGTAGTCGTAATTCAGAAAAACTAGAAAAAAATGAATAATCCCTTTTAATTAAGGAGCACTTAAATATAGAACGAATGATCATTTTAGCTCTGCACTCTGCAGTATGGAAACTGTCAAGCTGATTAGTGCACCAGCCCTTAAATGAGCGTGTAAAGCCATTTAGAAGAATACAGACATATAGTTTATACAAGGGCCGGTGCTATAACATACACAAACATACACACAAAGACACACCTTTATATGGCCTCCGTAGGTGTCGTGGCTGAAGAACTGGCACGCGTTGTTTCCGTAGCACGAGTTTTCCATTTCCCCGTAGATGAGAATGTTTCTGGAGAGCAAACCCACTTCGGCTCGCATGTCGACCCCGTCTAAGATCTCTCCAACGTGGTTATACAGAGGCTTCCCTGGGCACACGCACAGGTAGATTATTGGTCATATGCTACGACTAACTGACATTTTACAGGAAAATCTGGTGCATAATTGGACAAAACCTGATTACTTAGTATAGTTACAATAGTTACATTCCATTTATTTAAAATGAAGCAGATGAAAAGCACTGGTTGAAAGTAATTTAATTTAGCTGAATAACATAACACAAATTAGCCCTTCATTCTTGTGGAACCTTTCTCATAGACTCAAACCCTTTCAGTAAAATACCAGCTTAATGTGACGCGTTAAAGCAAACAGGAAGTGACATTTAAGCTCAACTAAGGTATTTTATTTCTGGAAACTGTCGGTCACAGGAAGTATGCCAGAAAGCAAACAACTACCCACGCCACAAAACCAACCGACCGAAATAATACAAATGTACTACAGTAAAGCAAAAGTAATCAAATACATATGAACATAAAATAATCAACTGTTGATGATGCAGTGCCCACAGGCCGCAGCTGCCAATGATAACACACAGCGACGCTCCAGCTGCTCGGCCCTTCCTCGCGGTCACGGCAGAAAAACTAAATCTAGACACACAAACACGCCCTTATCTGCAGGAAGGGAGTTGGCGCTTGTTGTCAACAGAGGAATGACATCAGGAAACATATTGATGGGGAGATGGACAAAAACTAACTAATAGATTTCTTTGAGAAGTCTTTGGAGAAGCAGAAGAAAAAGGAAGGATGTGAAGTCGAGGTGATGTTTCGAAACCCACAAAACCACCGTGGTTATTATGAGATGAGGTTATTATAAAAAACATAAGCTGGCAGCCTCTTTTAGCCTGCTCTTATCTTATATTGCCGCAACAGCTGAACAGGAAATTATATGTCTCTGAGGATTAGAAGCAAATCTGATAATCATATTTAATGACTATGACACACACACACACACACACACACACACACACACACACACACACACACACACACACACACACACACACACACACACACACACACACACACCACACACCCCCACACACACACACACACACACACACACACACACACACACACACACACACACACACACACACACACACACACACACACACACACACACACACACACACACACACACACACACACACACACACACACACACACACACACACACACACACACACACACACACACACACACACACACACACACACACACACACACACACACACACACACACACACACACACACACACACCTCACCTTGTATCCTGACCTGCCTGCTGCTGCAGTGAGAGCAGGGCAACAAGGTAAACTCTTCCGTCTGATGCATGGAGTAGTCTGTGCTGGCAACTACAATCTGATCCCCGGGTTGCCAGGTCTGCTGCACTTCATCCTGCAGGTTCAGCAGCACCTGGTCCACAGCATCCACCTGGAAGCCTGTGATGGGGAAGCCTGGGGAAGATACGGAAAATAGCAAAACTGAAATCATGTAGGACAGAATTTTGGTGCCTTTTTGATTATATTATAGAATTTCTTTCATACCACATTTCGCAAAAAATAATATTACTCTAGGATCAGCCCATTCATTCTTAATTCCAATCAAAAGGGTAGGAAACAGAATGGGGATAAAGGAGAAAAAAGGATATTAAAATGACATTAGATTTGTTTCTTCTGCATGCATAGAGAATTCATTTATTTACACTGAATAGAAATGAAGAATATTGCTGCTGAATAGTTTAATAAGCACTGAGAGATTTTGTAAAGCAATGAAAATAAATCATATGAGTGTGTCCAGCAGTTATTAGTCGCCGAGGGCAGTATCTCACCAAATAATAGTAAAACACAGTTGGATTACACTAGTTCATTATAATTGTTCACTTGAGAGTTGAGTGACTCACTGTCAAAGTGACTTTTATTAGGTGTGCACAAGGACGCCCGCAAAAAATAAACAGTGGGTGTTCTAGTAGACCTGGTATTTGTCATAAAGTCATAGTAACAAACCCCGCGTCACCTACTCAGGCACAAGAATGTCTTTCATGTTCAGATGATTGATCTGTTAAGCAGTCGGCCTGCGGTAAACCCCATTCTTCAACATGTCACACTTCTCCAAACCCTTTACCACTTCAAAGCCAGAAGACCCTGTCCCTGTCACTTGGACAGCTTAGTATTATTGTTTATAGCTTAGACTTGCCTGCACAAAAGGACATTAGGTTAAACTCAAAAAGATGGACCGTTGCTGGATATTTTCTTATGGCTGTTTGAAAAGCTACAATCATAAGCTCACCGGTCTTCCACTCGCTGTAGGCGGTGACGGAGAAGTCAACTCCATCGACGGTGGTGAAGTTGCGCCTTGCCAGAGCTCTTCCTCCTGTGTTGTGGTTTTCATGTTCCTTGACGTCCTCTGCGCATGAAGCGTTTCCTCCACCCACCACCGAGACCAGAGCCCACGCCTGCCTGGAGAGAGCAGAGGGCCAAGGGGAGAGAGCAGAGGGCCAAGGGGAGAGAGCAGAGGGCCAAGGGGAGAGAGCAGAGGGCCAAGGGGAGAGAGCAGAGGGCCAAGGGGAGAAAGCAGAGGGCCAAGGGGAGAGAGCAGAGGGCCAAGGGGGAGAGAGCAGAGGGCCAAGGGGAGAGAGCAGAGGGCCAAGGGGAGAGAGCAGAGGGACAAGGGGAGAGAGCAGAGGGCCAAGGGGAGAGAGCAGAGGGCCAAGGGGAGAGAGCAGAGGGCCAAGGGGAGAGAGCAGAGGGCCAAGGGGAGAGAGCAGAGGGACAAGGGGAGAGAGCAGAGGGACAAGGGGAGAGAGCAGAGGGCCAAGGGGAGAGAGCAGAGGGCCAAGGGGAGAGAGCAGAGGGCCAAGGGGAGAGAGCAGAGGGACAAGGGGAGAGAGCAGAGGGACAAGGGGAGAGAGCAGAGGGACAAGGGGAGAGAGCAGAGGGACAAGGGGAGAGAGCAGAGGGCCAAGGGGAGAGAGCAGAGGGCCAAGGGGAGAGAGCAGAGGGCCAAGGGGAGAGAGCAGAGGGCCAAGGGGAGAGAGCAGAGGGCCAAGGGGAGAGAGCAGAGGGCCAAGGGGAGAGAGCAGAGGGCCAAGGGGAGAGAGCAGAGGGCCAAGGGGAGAGAGCAGAGGGACAAGGGGAGAGGGCAGAGGGCCAAGGGGAGAGAGCAGAGGGACAAGGGGAGAGACACCGAGAGGGAGTCATTTTCAGAAATCACAATACATAGACTAGTTTAACACATCGTCATCAAAGAACAACATATGGACCAGATTCAGGGCTTAAGCTTTGAAACACATTCTTTCTGAATGATGAAAATAATTGTAATGGAAAGTAAAAGCAAACTAACTGTTAACAGTTATTAATAGTTTATCATTAAGTCACTTGGCTCATCATTTAAATGGCAAATTCACCAGCAGCAGCAGCAGCACTGCAAGATTTGTGAGAAATAAATCTTATTGCGATTATTTTGAGAGGTATTGCAATTGTGATGTGGTTTACTATGTAAGAGGAAAGAATCATCAAAGCATCAGAATCCTGCTTTTGCTTTAAAGGTTTATTTAAAAAAAAATCACAATATTAATAATGTGGTTTTTAAAGAGGATCCGTAACAAATAAAGATAAAATAAGACAGTAGAATAAAATGAATGGGCTGGGATGACTTGAGCACCATAAAACTTAATTCATCCTTTTAACAAATATTGTTCTCCCTGCAATTTGGATATTGAACTAGTACATATTGCGGTATCAATAACATTGTGATTCATTGTGCAGCCCTAATCAACAGTCTCTACTGGTTCTTTGCCGAGTGGAAGTACCAGAACTAGCGGACCAGTCTCAGTGATTGAAAATGTAAACAGGACATTCAAACCCAGTGATCGTAATATCTTACAGATGAGACAGCTGGTCCGATAGAGGGTGTGACCTGAACTGCGTAATGTTTCCCTGTGTTTGAGTTTAAATAAGTGACTATTGTATTGCCCTGAAGGCACAGCAAATGTCTGCAGTGATCCTAGTGCAGGTTGGGACGGGGCCACTGGATATAAAGAGTGTTTATCATGAAATAATACAAAAGGAAAGGTGAAAAAACGAAAAATAGAAAGAGTGTCTCAGGGGATTAAGGGGCGTACCTGCCACATTTCAAACTGAATTCAAATCCAACTCTTTATTTTTGATCCAAATCCTCTCTTCTCAATCCATTGAAAACTATCTCATAACGCAGGAATGTGAACAAATGTGTAAGAAATGATATTACAATGATTAAATGAGAAGGAGAGGCTGGAATCATTTGATCAGGGGAGCTTGAGGGTGTGGATGGGGAAAGGGATTGGGTGTGCTTTAGAGGGTGTATGACCTAAAAGATGACACTTGTAGCCTTGGAGGTTTTAAATGTCATGTCGTTAGCTTTAAGGAATAACTCCAAACAAGCCAAAAGACATATTCATGTTCAGTAAACCGAGTTCAGCTTTATAATAAATAAGATGTATCTCCAGTGAAGCTAGCAACTCACAGCACATTTTAAACATAATACAAAAGAAGTCAAACACTTTATCTACTTCTTGGAGAACTATATTTGGATTATTGAAATCACACAAAAAAAGGTTAGTTCTGAATAGCAACTTTGCGATGCTATCAACTCCAACAAACCCTGTGTAAATATTTATCTCTGTTCATAATTATTGCTTTCATTGGCATTATTACAACCTACACACGTCCTCTTGTAGATGAAAGAGCCGCTGTGATGTGATTGGACACCCCACTGACACACAAACAGGATCCATCTGGGATCCACTTTCACTGCGGCCCAGTGTGTGACGTGTGCAGACACAGCGCTCATTTCACTTTCTTCCTTTCCCCATACATCCTTGATTTGATGTCCACTCGCATTTTAACAACCTCATTGTTTTACAGGAAATAGCAAACGCAGACCGGCATGATTACTTGAGTTTAAGTTTGAGTGTTTTCCTGAGAGACAAAGATTAAAGGCGGAGAAGGTCAACAGACACGAGACAGGAGCCAAGCCGTACATTTATCAAGGGCAGGAAGGAGGGTTGATGCTGAGATGAGCTTATATAAAATCAGGGGTATTTGGACTGAAATGTGGCTTAATGGTTATTTAAAATCAATCATAAGTTACTGTATATATCATAAGGGTTATGAAAAGGCACTATAAATACACTGATTGTAATTCATTCGACTGATATTGCAATTGCGAAATATACGCGATATTAGATGTAATGATGATTTTGAAAACATTATTCACATTATCATTAATACAAATTCTACAAATGATTATGGCGTAACTTTTTTAAAGGATCTATACCAAACATATAGTTTTCTTTTCAATTGAGTCTGTAGCTTGGACTTCTCTGCAGCTTCACAATACGGTAGGGCTGCACGATATATCGTGTCGTGACGATAATCGCGATATGCGCATGCAGGACTTTTATTTTTTTTTTTTATGACGTGCGATATTAAGTAGGCAAATGAACTCAAACACGTCATGTTACAATTCTTTTGCTGCTTGCTACAAAAAAGGAAAACTTGCGCGGCTCTCATGTCAGGGGTACTTGAGTGAGTGACATGCAGGCTCTGCATGCACAGCAAACCACCAATCACAATCAAATCTCCAAAGCAAACGGACACTGAATAAAGTAGTTTCATGTGTTTCTCCAAGGCAGTTCGGTGCTGCTAACCGAGCTAGCTCAGCTTGTTGCTCTGATGACTTAAGATCCAGATGTCCGTGACTAAAATCCTTCATCCGGTTAAATATAGTTAGAAAAATACCAATTGTATAGCATTAAAGTTCAAGAAAGGATGGTTTGCGGACAAAAAAAAACGGTCTTTTCTTCAATTCCTGTATTTTGTTCATATCGCAATATATATCGCAGGGGGAAAAAATATCCCAATATCATTTTTTTCCAATATCGTACAGTCCTACAATACGGTAAAGCATTCTGATATTTTCACATATTTAGCCTTTTCCAAATATTGTGCTAACTGAATATTGCGCTTGTCAGTCCTAAAACACACCCAGGTGTTACAGCTAACACACATCAACAACAAGCTTGGAACAAACTAGCAACACAAATCAGTTTCAGGTACATTCCCTGCCGTTTGTTCACAACACGCCATAACAGTCATAAAGTCATCTACACTCCATCATGACGCTCCTAAAGGTCACATGCCTTTACCACCTGACTCTTTCAGGCTAAAATCACTCAGCCTAACATTAAGTGACTTTAACGAGACATTAAACTGCATGCTCTCTCGTAAAATGTGTGCTATGTGTTTCCTCACAACCACAGGCAAATCCACAGAAAGCTTAAAATCCCCACTCCAATAAAAGTGACATGATAAGAAGAGAGTGCATACTGTTAACTTATTGGTACACACACCACAAACACCTCTGAACATACTGTATGCAGGGCTTGGTTGTGTGATCCATCTGAGATTTGTTTAAAGACTTGGCACACAGCCCGTAGGTGAAATGTGACACTGGAGAATCTGGCGTAGCACTTGGCTTTTCAGTCAACCAAGGACAAGACCAGCCCGAGCTACAAATAACTTAGGGAGAAATGCTAAACACTTTAAAATAAATGTTTGAGTGGCGGTAACAGAAGACCTAATGTAACCCTAACCCTAACCCTATGAAAGGTAAAGTCAAAATCCAATTACCTTAGTTTATGAGCTTTAAGATTTTAAAGAAAGATTATAAGGCTATGTGGATAGGGCGACGCTCAAACCTATAGTATCGTCAATTCTCATTATAAACATCAAATCTCTTGGATCGCCACATTTTGCGCAAATCCTGGAAACTCTTTGACCCTGATCCCATTATCCTGTACGTGCTTCCTTTTCAGGCATAACATGATATAGCAAAAACAGGAAGAGAAACAACTTAAAAACAATTCAAGGGAACATTACAAATGAAGGAGAGGACATTCTCCAGGGAGGATGGACATAAACAGAATGTTGTTGCTCTCAGTCCATAAAGTGTGGGGTCTTACGAAGAAAAACACATTAACCGCCTTTATCAGCCCCAGGAGACCTAGAATAAACAAACACTCCCAAACACTAACAAAGACAACACACCATGGAGAACCAACACAAGAGCTTCTGCAACACAGCAGGGGAACAACCCCACTCACACTCGTCAGGGCAACAACAACCTATAATTACTATTACTGAAAAAACACCATTAACAAGTCTACACTGGAAAACTAAACCGTTGACTTCAATTGAATTTATTATGTCGACAGATTTTACATTACTGTATTAGGTTAGTTTAAAGCAGGGGTGTCAAACTCAATTTCATCACGGGCCACATTCGCATTATGGTTGCACTCAAAGGGCCGGTTGTAACTTTAAGACTATATAAAAATACATATATAAATATTTAATATATATAAAATACTGTATTATATTACATCATTGCCTCTGCATTGGATTATTATCAGATAGGGGTAATAACTTCATAACTAACTAACTAGGTCAAAGCAGAAGTCTAGGGCAAATAATTGCAAGTCTCTTCAGTGAGAATGTCACAAAATGATTTCAGAAGAAAAGAAAAAAAAAGTGACATTTTGAAAAATAGTCAAATCTGAGAAAAAAGGCATATTTAGAAGAAAAAAAGTCAAATTCTGAGAAAAAAAGTCTAATTTGAGAATCATTGTGCTCCATGTATGGGCAACGTGCTTCTGTAAATCGCCATGTAACCGTATAACAAACATATTCTTTGCAAGCTCTTGTGGGCACGGGCCGGATTTGGCCCCCAGGCAGTGTTTCCGCCAGGGGGGCGTCTTGCCGTCATTTGACGCCATTATTCAGTTCGGAAAGCACTGAACTCGAGCGGAGGGCGTCAAAAAAAATTAATAATTCGAGAGAAGATCGAGAGTTTTTATCGCTTGAAATTACGAAAAGGAAAAAGGACAAGGACATCCCTCTGTTGGAGGGGCAAAGGAGTCTGGCGGGATTATTTTCGGAGTATTGAAGATCGTTTCCCCGACATCGGCGGTGCCTGCCACAGCACAACACGGAACGTGCGCGATTTGGACGCGATGAGGGGGGGGGTGCTAGTGGAGCACGCGCGTGAACTGCGAGCGCCGGAGCCTCCGGCTTACCTTACTCCGTGGTAAACTGTGGTAACATGAAGAGCCGTTTGGGAGGCGAAACAGCCGGCGCTTTAAAAGAGCCGAGTCAAATGATCCGGCTCACTAACGTAAAGAGATAGTATCTATAAGGGACGTCTCAATTCAAACCCCCCCCCCGCTCTCGGGGTGGACGCCCTCTCAGCTCTGGTCTGGCGGAAACACTGCCCTCAGGCCTTGAGTTTGACACCCCTGTTTTAAAGTAATAATAGTAAGTTTAAATATTAGGTTCAACTTAAAATGACTGCTTTCATTAACCTAATACAATTATGTGAAATGTATTGACATTATACACCTAATTAATGTCAACGTTTTGATAATAATAATTCATACAATCTACCTGTATTTGAGATCATAGACGAAGCTGCTGCCGAGCTTCTCTTCAATGGCCTTCTTAGTTTCGTCCAGAAGACTTTTGACAGCCGAGTCTCCCACAGCCAGCGTGACGATGCGGCCCTCTGGGAGGGTCCGCAGCAGCTGGGTGAGCCGCCGGCTGTCATTTCGGGAGTCGTGCGTGTCGTAGCGTTCGCACAGCAGCACTGCAGCCGTGTCCTGGTCCACCACGCGCAGGTTGATGCCTCTGCTGAAGTTTCGCAGGAAGGAGTAACCCCCCGTGTTCAGACCGGAGGCCGGGACACTTCGGGTCAGCAGAGACCAGGACACCCTCTCAGCACCGTGAAGCTCCAGAGTCCCACCGCCCATCACACCTATGAACTTGCGGCCCATGCCGGGCACTGCAGCGACCGCCTTGTCGTCGGAGCGACCCACCAGGGCTACTGTGGCGCGGGAACGGTAGCGACATTTGGGAGCCCCGATGTGAAGGGCTCCACCGTCTTCTATGAGGATGTGGCGGGTCCGCAGGGTGATGTTTTTGGAGCCGTCAGCGTTGTCTGCAAAAACGACCTTACCTGGGAAGAGGCAGAGAAAAACAATATGAGTTATTTGTGCTGTATGTTACATCGACTCATCCAAAAAAGATTAAATGAATCAGATATAAAACGATGACATTTTGTTTTGTCTGAGGAGTTGAAACCCTTACTTTACTTGAACGATTGGTCGTTAATCTGTCAGTTGATATTTGATGTAAACATAAGTTATGAAGGTAAAGTCTCATAAAGAAGAAGTATGTGAACTTTATGTGAAATATAATTTAGAGAAAAGACAAATATCCCAATGTGCAGTCATGCTTAGGTACTTTTACCCTAGAAACGGGAAGGTTAATTGCATCTCCAGAGGACAAACTCTGTCGTGAAAGGAAGAACTATGGGTTTCCCTTTTGTTTTATTGTATAAGAGGTCATAAAGGATTTTCTATGAAAAACTTGAGTAATGGGAGGGAACCTTTCTTGTAGATTGTATTTGCCAGGCTTGGGAATTGGCTGAAATAAAATGTTTGACCAATGCAAATATATTTTTGATGTCTTTTAAATCCCATAAGATTTAGCATTTTGTGTGGATGACACGAAAATAGCGAAGAATCATCAAAAAGCTGAACCTGAACTCCTAAATGTTTTTTTTAATGACTGATTTTAAATGCCATTTTCATAATGTCTTCCATTTTTGTAAAGCACTTTGAATTGCCTTGTGTTGAAAGGTGCTATATAAATAAACTTGCCTTGCCTTGCCTTGCCTTGCCTAAACAATGTGACTTTATTTAATAAACGTGCGTCCATCCATGCTGCTGTGTGCTCACCTCCTGACTGGATGGTTATTGAATGGAAGGTGGCAGAAGACTCCAGCCTAAACAGATGTCCACTCCTGACGATAACAGCCTTCTCTGGTTGGTGGCCTGGGCTCCAGCTGCTGAGGGACAGGTCGTGGTCCGGACAGTTTTCTGCAAACAGGACCAATCAGTGACAGTGGATATACTTAATTAATCTCCTATGTTAAATTCAGGAGGCCATTGGTAACATAAAAAGAAAAAAAAAACATAACATTTGAATACTGACCATCTAAAATGTCTCCACTTGAGAGACTGAGAACAAGGATGAGGGTGAGGAAGAAAGCCCCGATGGACACTCCGAAGCAGATTAAGCTGTTTTTATTCTTCTGGAGGTTCTGGTCACGCTCCCTGCGCTGGTTCTCCTCTGACAGGTTGAACGTGGCTCGTCGCTCTGGCGGGGGGCCGAGAGGTTTCATCGGTGGAGGTGGGGGAGCTTTGGCAGGATGTGGCGAGCGCACTGGAGCCACCCGACCGGGGACATAACCCGGGGGCCTTGGGTGGTTTCCATTGGGCGGGGCCACAAAGACCGGGAAGCGGCTGGGGCCATCGCTCGTCGGCATGGTATCCGTGTCTGCTACCTGAGGAGAGGAAGAGGACGATGTGGATCAGGGCTACAAGAATTGGGAGAAAAAAAACGTAATTGTTGGGATAATTGTTTGGGATATTATAATTGGGATATGATTCACAATATTGGAGGGATTGATCACTTTTTTTTTTTAAGAGTGTTTGTACCATAAAAATATATTGTATTGTGTCATGACATGTCTGCCCACCAAAATACCTAATTCAGAATAATATTTACACATATTTTGCCTGTAAAAAATATGTATTTAAGTTTGATTAATTGTGAATCCCTAATATGGATTCACTGACAGTGATTCCAAACTATTCGGGAAAAAAACATCCTCGAAGGTGTATGGCCTATTTGGTAATAACTTCAGATAATAACATTGTTATTAAACGGCCTTTAAGGCTGAAGTAATTGGTTTGTTGTCATAAAGAAATTGAAATAACACAAAGTTTAAAGCATAAACTGTAGGCAAGTAAGCTGGTTAAATAGTTAAGTAAAGTTGGTGAGACAAACAAGGAGTTTAACAGAGAAGAGTTCAGACTAAAGCTGTCAGGAGGGAGGAAGAAGACCTTCAAGAGAGCATAAAGTGACAGTAAAAACCGTAGGGGGTGAAGGATGAAAAGTCTGATTCTAGGGAAACAGCAATAACCCTCGGAGCATCTCGCTGCTGGACCTCCAGGTTAAGATCCTGGGTGTGGCGCTTAAACAGACTGACTTCAATCAGAAACAGTGGGCACACTCCCTGGCTGTTTGGCTCAGAGTGACATTGGCTGCTCCTGTCCACAGAAAAGAAGGAGGTGAATAATGGATCACAACATTCCTTACACTATGTTAACACGGCCAAAACAGATGGCACCAATTACAGTAGAGGAGAGTGCACCAGCCCGAGCCATACACACTTTATAACACACACACTTAGGGGAGGTAGCACACATTGAAGCTATGGACACACACACACATAGAAAGGTCAAATGGACACACACCTGCAAACACGCAGGGGTAGAGGAAATGACACTGCGGGAAAAAAGGCTTAAATGGCACTTTTCTTTAAGACAAACAGCCTGTAGCACTTTATTAACACGACAGCCTGCTACTACATCAACAACAAGTCAGCAAGTTTTAGATTTCACGTGTTAGATTCTGGCCGCATCACTTGATGAATGAGACAGTTTTAAGAGGTTGTTAAAAGTGAGAAACTGCAACAATTGTCTAAAACAGGCTCCTTTAAACCAAAGACACCCTGATGAAAGTGATGAGTTTCAGGCTCTAAATTGTCCGAGTGTGTATCAGCAGGTTCACAGTTACACGATCCACTGGCACACACACAACCGTCCATTGTCTTGCCAAGCCAATTTGTCATCATTTTAGCCCAGAGCACAACAAACCTCTTCAACTGATAAACAAAGCAATGTACAATCAAGAGCTGCTCAACAATGGCTCAGTGATCTACGCAGTAAGAGCCATGGGCAAGAGCAGCTTGTTCACACACTTCAACCTGCATCATCCATTACAGTGTCTCTGTCTGAAGCCTTTTTCAGAAGCTCTTCAGTCTCCATCTCAAACTAAACTGGAATGTTTTCGAGACAGGCAATCTTTCCTTTAGATGTTCATATTCTCACGGCCTGTGCACTGCTTCAGACGGGAGCCCTGTGATGAGATAATCCCCCAGACATTAGTCTTTATAAGCGTATCTCAAGCGATGTTTTTATTCACATTCCTGACCATAAAGAGGGCCTGCTCCCCTGCTACTAAGTGAACTGTCAGAGCATAAAAGAGTTGTGGACTCACTCACCTTGGGGGTATTCAAATGCTGGAAATTACACTCTAAATCCATATAATTGTGTCCTGGGATTACATTCTTGGAAATGCTTTGTACGCTGCAAGCCTCACAAAATGATAACAATGGCTGGATGAAGACACCCCTGATATTTTACTATGGATTGAAAAAATGATGTCCATTTTGGCACTGGATCACATGTGTTAGGAGGAACTCTTGATGCTCGGGAATCGTTCCCAATAGCATTATCAAAGAAAGAGATATGGTTACAACTATAGGAGTACATGTAACAGAGTAAGAGCTCACAATTGGCACAAGATGGTGACTGCTGCTGCCATTATTTTTGTGTCATTGTCTGGTTTTGAATCATCTTGTGACTGTTGAGAATAAGAATATTGAACATGAGAATTACACCCATCAGAAGGCTTCACAGCTGCTCTGTTTCCTCATAAGCAAGGGTGCACTTATTGCGTCCCTCACTCTCATATTTCTCTGATTTCAGAGCTACTGAATCTCAAACAGATGTGGGGGAAACACTGGAGTCAAAGCGGGACAGACCATTACATTCCTTTGGTGTAAATCATATACTTTGGACATCGATTTTGGCAGTGTAACAAAACATTAAGCCACGTGTTCACTTTATTAACACAAAACTGTAGCTGACACAGCGCTGTCACAAGTACACAAACACACTTACAGTAAGTGAGCATTGATTGAGGGAGCATCATCGTACTTATGTTAATTTATGGGCTTGTTTTGGCCCTCCACTTTTCTTAACGATATAGAAACACTATATTTGTAAGGGTCCCCTCGGGGTAGTCTCCAGTGATGGGAGAAGTACTCAGATCCTTTAAGTATTAGCATCAAATATATACTTAAAGTACAAAAAGTAATAGTACTCATTCTGCACAATGGCCTATTTCAGAATAATATAAAATACAGATGTATTATCAGCTGAATGTATTTCAAGTATCAAAATTAAAATAACTCGTTAAGCATAATGGATCTTTTCATAGTATTATATTGTTATGTTTATTATATTTTCATGTTTTTATATATCAAAATAATGTTAGTATTGTAGTTTGTCAATGTGGACCAAATGTAGATACTATAAAATACTGTGATAGTAATACTGTACTGCAATATACCATATCAGCATATAATGTTTTACATGTACAAAGTAACTGTGAGTGTTAAATAGATGTAAAAAGTACAATATTTGCCTCTGAAATGTAATGGAGTAGAAGTATAAAGAAGCATTAAATGGAACTACAAGTAAAGTACAAACATGTCAAAATAGTACAACAGTACTTCAGTAAATGTACTTAGTTACTTTCCACCACTGTCTATAGCACACTTATCACTACAAAAAAGCTAAAGGATAACACATGACAGAAGGTTAAGTTAGAGATATTAAAACAGATGTTGGTTTTGATAAAAGTGGCTTTTCTCCACCTTGACAGTCAAGGTAACTTAACCGTTGAGACACGTAACGTTGGCAACGCACCGTTTACAACTGTTAACCGTTAGCATGGACACACAAAAAACAACTGGCACGTTTTAGTAACGTAATAACCCGAATGCAGAGCCTGTTTATTATATAAAACACATACCTCTATTTAAAGTTTTCCCCGGTGAGTCCTCCTCCACCCCCAGCGTTGACAGACAGACACAATGTCCGGGACGTAACGTGGGTGAGACTGCTCCTCTCCCGCTCTGTCCATTCGCTCTCTGCCGAGCCTTTAGAAACGCTGACCCGGTGGTGGAGAGACCAATAAGTTCTCAAGTCTTCTTTCCTTGTCCCTTTCTTTATAGCGTCTCTTCACATGGTGTTTTTTCTGCTGATGGGCTGTCGTCCGTCCGTCGCTCAGCCCCTCTGTCCCACCGAGAGAAACCAGGCGCGGCTTGGAGGGAGGAAGTGATGATGCGTTCAATGCTCGTCGGGCAAAAACAGTGATGAGCCGTTGAGATGCATGTGATTGAGAATTCATGATAAGTATTAGAAATAATCAGTGGTGGAAAAGGTATTCAAGGTACCAACACCACACTGTAAAATATTTAAAATTATATTTTGTGTAAATATTGTCTTTATTTGTCTTATATATTTGTATTTTGTGTATATATTGTCTTTATTTTTTTACTTGTTACAATATTGTTTTTTATATTTTGTTATAAAAGTACTATTTTTGACTCGTTTCTTAAATAAATAAAAGTATACTTTCTTACTTACTTTCTGTGTCTTGTTAAACTCACCATTTACATCAAAGCAAATTCCTCGTATTTGCAAACCTACTTGGTAACAAAACAGATTCTGATTCTGAAGTAAAAGTGCGAATGGTACTTAAGTAGAAGTATTTAAGTACGATTAGGAAAATGTACTTAAAGTGTAAATGAGTACAAATACTCATTGCTTTAAAAAACATTTTAAAGCAAAAGCAGTAAATCTTCACATTCAAGAAGCTGGAACTGTGAAATATTTTTTAACAAAAAGCTTCTTCGCAAAGTTGTTGCCAACTAATTGTCTCATAATCCTCTCATGGTTTTTAGTTACTCCTTTATCATGAGATCATGAGATGACTCCTGTGACAATATGCCAGTAGCCTATTGAGCAAATGTCAACACGTCTAGTTTCCATACTGACAGTTTGACTGTGATTTTCAGTCAATTGTGAGTGCATGGTAACAGAAAAAGTTAATTCATGGAAAACCGTACTTGTAACTCTGAAGCTGAAACACCCACTGGCTGTGTTTCGGTTTTGCATGTGATCAAGCCAACAATGAAGTAATATTATGTGACATGAGTGTGTTAATCCCACATTTAAAAGGCTTTCTAAGAAGGAATGAATGGAATCCGAGGAGTCTTTGAATGCTTCACCACGACCACGAACTGAAGGGGAGGGGCTTAAACCTGATCCACACTGCCGCCTGCTGGTTGTGTAGTATACTTTCAATACTCCATTACTACTACTACTACTACTACTACTAGTACACGAAATACTGATTTCTACAATAATAAACACGGATAATGTCACAAATACAGAATGGTTTTGCAGTGTCAGAGAAAAATTGGCATAAGCGCCAAAACATTTAAACTGCAGGATTTTTGACACTTCCTTTCTTTTAAACTCTGTAATCTCATAATTGTCTCGTCCTTTTTTTGCTTTAAAATATCTTTGCGGGAAATACAAAATGTGCCCCAGAAGCACATGTTGCTGATGATAACCATAGACTGTATATATAGATGATAACACACAAGCTCATTTACATTATCTTAACTCAGATGGTGCAGTATGATGCACAACATACAGGAGTAACACAGTATAGCCTTCACCCTCATATGAACTTACTTTAATCAAAAAAGGTAATATATTGTTTATATGGAGGGCTGTTGTTTTGGATTCATTCATTAGGAATCGCTCACTTACTCAATTATGCAAAAAACACAACACAGAAAACCCACTTCAACACATTTAAAGATATTATTAGGACAAGAGAAATAAGAGTTTCTCCGAAACCTCAAACACATAGTAATGCCTGGGAAAGAGTTGTTAAACTATCTTAGTTATTGTCATTGACAGAAAATACAAACCTGCTTTGTTTCGGTTCAGCCAAATGACATCTCTGCTATAATGAGGGCAATCTTAAATGAGGTCTTGTGAAAGAGCATGATATCACCTGTTACACGGCACAAGACATCTCCAAAATACAATCCTGAAATAAAGAAACTTAAAAAGTTCCCCCCCAAAAATAAACAGTTCAGTCAGAAATTGTGTTGCTTCTCAAATACCATTTTATTTTCTCTATCCACGTTAGAATTACTTTATTAATATTGTTATTACATATATGGTCCTTTGTATTGAAATATGATATACAAAATTAATCAAATCAGAGATGACATTAGTCAAAGTTTCCTGTACAAAGGTTTTCTGAAAGCCAAAAGGATGGCCTACCTTGGTCTCATAAAGAGTTAGAGAATTAAGAATAATGACAGAGGAAAGAAATGATGAAAGCTTGTGAAAGACAAAGAAATAAAAATGACATGTCCATTACAAATATTATTTACAAAGTTAAAATCAAACAAAAAGCATAACCTTGTTTATAAGACAAATGAGTTGTGAAAATAAAAGTTTCTTAACAGATGACAAAACATCAAGCCATTTTTACTTCCTCTTTAACGTAAGTGAGCAGACCTGAAGTTTACAGTAGCACCCATTTGCTTATTGATGAATTGTCTAACACAAACAGTATTTGACCCCTTTTGTTGACACAGGCTAGTGTAATGCAGGTAAAAAAAAATACCCATAAAAACATAGAGTTATTGAGAGCTCTTATTCAACTCAGTTTGTCACACAGACTGAAAAAAATAAAAACTAGCCATTCTTGGCATGCAGTAGCACTTTGACATTTGCTTTTCAGGGTCTCAAAGGAGCCATCAGCGGCTGATTCTTTGTTTTAGCACGCTCAGCATTAAAAGGGCAAATCAATAGACAACAATGGATCCAGAACTACCATGCAGACAAAAGGTTAAGACAAAAACAAAACGTCCATGATGGAGGCCTTTAATGCTGAGCCACTTACCCATCGTCTATTCATTTTAAGCTTCTCAATAACTTAAAACGCAACAGTATAATGTTCAACAACTTCCTGAAGTGACAATAAATCTACACCAGCTGTGTTAATAATGTGCACCATTCAGTCATGATTGGCATTAGTGGTATAATTCTTGAATAGAGCACAGACTGCTGTCACAGTAGTTAACATAGTCGTATCTTATACAAAAAAAGACAACTTAAAGATCTGATTCAGGTACATAAGATCTGTAATAATAACTACATACATTATTTCACTTCATCTTCTCACCCAAAGACAGAAAAAACACTGTCAACACTGGGTTTCATATTAGCTACTATATAAAGGGGAATATTGTCATTTCCAAAGAGGTGTCAGATAGTTTCTACATTTATCTGTCCAGCATTTTATGTTCTGAAACATGCATCTACTACAGCGTAGCAGTAATAAACCTACAGCAGCAATGCTTCGGAGTTTACCTTGAAGAAGTAACTGTGGAAATGTTTCCAAAGGACAGAGTGGCAGGAAATAACCGGCATTGGTACACAGCCCGATTCTTTTAACCGACTACATGAACTGCATCATATTTTTTTAGATTGCAAGTCATTCAATTCCCCCCAATTAAGACCTAACGGAGAAGTACGAACTGAATACAGCTAACCGAGCTTTTGAGATGTTACTAGATGAATTTTGTACACATTTCTGTGTGTCCAACTCTCTGCTATATATTATACTAAACATTTGGCAACACTGGCACACAGCTAGATAATGTCAGTTCGTGTTGTACACCAGTGACAGCTGATACGTGCAAAAATCATGTATAATATAAAAAAATATAATAAACAGTAATCCAAAAAAGGAAATACACGGTGACTGCAGAGTGGAGGGCCGAACCTCAGTCAGATGGAGCTCGGCTGGGTTGGAGAGTCTAGTCCAGTTCTACAGCCTCAAAATCCCTCCATAAGGAACAGTGGACCATGTCTTTCTTAAAAAGGCAGCAACAAAATGTGACACACTCTCATTTACTGCATGTACACTCAGAATATCGTCTGTGCATTCTTTCATTCTCACAATCAGGATGTGCAAATTGCAACATAAAAAAAACAAAATTTTAAAGCAAAACAAAAACTGATGGGTTGTAAGTTCACAGCTGCAGCATGTGGAGTGGACGGTACTGAAAGGCTCTTTGCCCCTTTGACAAAAGGGAGCTCCAAGGGGGCGAGGCGCTCGATACTGAGAGAAGACTGCCACCAAAACTTCAGATTACACAGACTAAAACCACTTCTACCTGCATCAATTCACATAAAATAAAACATTGTACCCTTCTCCATCATCCACCCTCTCCTGGAAACCATCGCTTTTTTTCTATTCTTCTCTCGCCGCCCTCCTTTCCAGCTCCTCTACAAGTTGACCAGCTCATGTGCAACAAACTGTTTGAGTCTCTCCAGGTATTGTCCGTAGAGCTCCACGTCGTTGTGTCCGGCGCCCTCCACCCACAGCGGCTCCACGGGGCGCTGACAGCGCTCGTACAGCGCCAGGCCGTGGGAGAAGTCGATGACCTCGTCCTCCGTGCCATGGATCACCAGCACTGGGGACGTCACCTTGGAGATCTTGTCGATGCTTCGGAGTAAAAATAAATAGAAAACAAAGTTAGGGAGTGATGTTAAAAATACAGGCACTCAGACAAAAGTAAGACCTAGGTTAAAGGTAGGGTAGGTAAGAATGGAGAAACCAGCTCGAGTGCGCTAGAATTTGAAAGTACACAACCGAAAAAAATCTGCCCGTTGCTTCAGACTTCCTTACAGAGCCCCTCCTCCAACACACACGAACGCGCACATGACCAATGAGGGCACGAGATACGTTTGTGCACGAGATGGAAGGCTGACAGACAGGTAGGCCATCCAGTTATTTTAGCCGGGCCGGCTCAGATGATTGGTCGTGCTTTTTACAGCGCCACGGCTTCCACAGATGACATTTTTTGTATGTATTTATTGTCAAAGCATTTAATGTATTCATTGCTATCGGGATGTTAAGAGCATTCCATGGAATATAACAAAAAGTGTTTCTGAAGTTAATTACCTACCCTACCTTTAAGTAATTGTAATCAACACAATAAAAAGAGAAATATAAATGCTGAAATATCACAGAAAAAAGGAAAAAGCAGAGCGAGTTTGGCCACCGACCACCAGAGGGAGCTACAGGAAATATCTTTAAAGCATCTCACTCAGAACACTCCCTTTATTGATTAGAAACATCTAAATGTAATTGCTTGCAAGCTTGTGTGTGTTTCTCTCTTATGTAAATACGTTCATAAAATACTGTATTTCTAA